ATAAGGAAATTCTGCTGCTTAAGCTAGAGAAGTTCTTTCTTAATTCAGCCTAGCTGTAAGATCGCCTCATGAAGGATTGTAGAATGAAAGATTCCCCTATAGCAATTTAATATATGTATGTATTTATTTAGTTCTTTATTAATATATTATTAATACGATAAATAGTTGTTAGCCATTGCCTCGATCGACATGCAAACTGTGGGAGCTGCTAATACTTGTAGCTAGTTTAATATGATATACAGATGTATGTAGAGTATTCAGCGGGCATGCTGATTCAGTGGGAATCGCGTTCACCACTTGTCGCTGTCGTCGTTGCTGTCGAGCTGGCACGGCATCATGACGCACTTCTCGATGCGCACCCTGTCCTTGCACTTGTAGCTCAGGTCCGTGTTGAGGAGGGTGCGCGTGCGCTGCCGGACAGAGTTATCGCCGCAGCTGGCCGTGCAGGGCGTCCAGGCGGACCACTCGGAGTAGCGGCACTCATCGCGCGGCTCCAGCTGGGGCTGCAGCTTGGCGGGCATGTGGCGTCGTTCGCCATAGGCGCCGCTCACCGAATACATGTCGTCGCAGCGCTGATAGCAGCGATCCATGCGCACCAGGTGCTTGGGGCAGGGCTTGCCGCCGTATTTGGGTGTGCGCAAGACGCGACGTGTGCGCAGCTGTACGCCGTCGCCGCAGCTGGCATTGCAGCTGTGGGCAATCCACTCGGAGACCATGCAATCGACGGGCTGCGGCTTCTCCGAGCTGAGGCGCTCGATCTGCAGCTCCTGCTTATGGCGGGGCAGGCGACAGGTCTCTTCGCACTCCTCCTTCGACTTGAATTTGTTCTGATTCGTGTCGCAGCGATCCGACCAGTAAATGGCACACTGATCACTCACGTGATCGTAGTACCAGAAGTTGGCCACGTCGCTGTCGCGACAGTGGCTCACGCGCAGCGAATCGTAGCAATAGGTGGGCACAATCGTATCGCAGCTGGGATTCGTGCAGTTGACCACTTCGATGAGTTTGATGTGGCGACAGGGATCGGTGCCGTCATCTGAGGGATCGTGCACGCCGTAGACTTCATTGTTGTTCCACACTTTGCGCATGCGACGTCGCTGGCCGGTGCCACCACAGGGTCCCAGGCAGGGCGAGAAGTCCGACCAGGGCGAGACGCCACACACTGGCGGTATATAGTCCTCGCTGCGCTGATTGAAGCTCTGAAAGTTGCGAAATAGCGAACGCTTCTCCGCTGAGCCCGCATTGCCATCCTCTCCAGCGCCTTCCGCCTGACCCCCCTCCGGCTCGCCCTCGCCGGCCGCCTCGTTGCCTATGTCGCCGCCACAGTCGATGGCCTCACAGACTCTGGTCTCTTGCAAGCGCGCCTTGCTGGCCTTCTGGCACTTCTTCTTGGCCCGCCTGTTCAGGTAGTGGCGGGTGCGCACCAGCTCACCTATGCCGCAGGTCACCGTGCACGAGGACCACTCGCTCCACTCGGATAGTCCACACTCGGGATCCATGTTGGGTTGCTCTGCCTCGGGCTGCGCGCCCTCCGAGGCCTCTTCGTTAAATGTGGCGCACTTGCGACCCATGCAGTTCTTCTCCTCACGCAATGCATTGTTGCATCTGTGTCGCTGGTGTTTGAGAATTTTAGATAGAGATTGGCTTATTCACAGTCGCAGTTGCTCCTTACCATGGCTAGTGTTGGATTCCTAAACTCGCGGGTTCTGTACTGTTTGCCAGGACCACATTTGGTGCTGCACTCATCCCAACGTGACCAGGCGGTAGTGCCGCATTCCATAGGCAACTGCTCCGCTGAGAAAGGGAAAGGAAGATGGAGAGATCTTATTGAGAGATCTTATTGTAGACTAAATCGGAGCTTACCGTCAGATGTTTCACAATTCTTTTCATAGAGTCGACGCCTGTTTATGTGCAAAGTAGCCAAGGGCTTCATTTCCGCGCCTGTGGGATCATAGAAGGGAGAGCGTGGATCATTGGGAAAGTTGGACTTGATGCGACGCACAACGTCGGGTGGCACCTGCGGCTGATCGGCAGACTATGAAAGTAGATAAAAGGATATCATATTAGATATAAGCACTAGATATATAGATAGATAAACTGACCATGTAGGAGGGACCGCTGTCGGTGCCCGCATCCCAGGGATATAGATTGTGCACCTTGTTCTCCACCCACGAGCAATTGGGCAAGCATAGCTCTAGCCCAGACACGCCCACTATCCAATCGGGCGATGGATCCACCATAGAGACCAGCGAGATCAAATGATGATTGGAGTCGACGCGAAACACTGCAAATGTTTTGCCCGTCACATTTGGATAGGCAATGCCGCGCGCCTTGATAATCGTTCGAATGTGCTCGCTCTGATCCTTCAGCTCGCTTTCCAGTGTGCGCGTCGAGCCGTGCTCGGCTACCTCGCGCAAGCCCTCGCTAGCCAGCTCGCCGTACTGCCAGAAGCGATAGTCAATGGTGTGCGAGGCCCCGATGATGTCGCTGAACCTGGTGCGCCAGCTGTTGGCCGGAAAGTCCTTGGGATGGGTGTGTCGCGACCATTTGCCCTCGAAGGTTAGCTGGGAAAGATGGGCATATGTAAGGGCTGCTAATTGTTGGAGGGATCGTTTCGGACTCCTGCTCACCTCATATTTGGCCTCATCGCAGGCACAACATGGATCCACAATGCTGGGCTGTGTATTGATGTCGTCCACTTCCTCCTCGCACATGCGCTTGGTCAGCAGTCCATCGTCCATGAACCAAACATCGCGATGCTGCATCACTGTCGCACGTATCAGCACACAGCCCTGACCCGCCATGGTCGGAGCTGCCCAAACGACGTCCACGTGGGTCTTCAGATTCGTATTTGTGTTCTCCACGACATTGGGACAGCGTGGACTGAAGCGTGTCTCCGACAAGTCGATCAGCTCAAAGGCGCCCATTGCATTCGGATCGCTCTCCGTAGCGCCCGACTCGAGCTCCAGGGCGAGCATAAAGCTCACAAACGATAGACCCGAATAGGCGCTCAGTGTAACTACGGAAGAGGTGGGCAAACTGAAGCTGCCTGCAGTTCGAGTTGGCATTGATCGATCGACTCACCATTGTATTTCTGGCCGGGCACATAGCTCTGTGCATGGCCCGCCACGGACACAACGAAATTCTCATCCACGGGCGACTTCGCTGCGGTGGCTCCCTGTGGCACACGATTGCACGCCTGGGTGGGTGGCAAGCAGCAGGTGGTTGCCAATAAAATTATGATGCATACGATTCTCATCTCAATAAATTACTTGTTCTGCCTTTCTCTCTCTCTGTCTCACTGATTCTCTGGGTTTACCTTTTTGTTGCTACAATTAAAACGCCATTAATTATGTGTGCTATATTTAGTTAAGGTGCATCAGTCAATTAGGCGTTGTTCTACATGTAAATTAAAATTTGCCAAATTAGAGAAGGGGTATATTAGTTTTCATATTATTCTTAAATGGCAAACACTTCAATAGTCAACATTTCGATCTTATATAATAATGCCGAACATAACTTTAAGCTGGATTAATATTTAGTTTAAATTATCTATTTTTAGATTTTACATTCCTATTTAGTTGATATGCGGAAATTATTATATCTGCTTCCATAGCTCGTTTAGATCATTAATTGGCTTGCGCATCTAATCATTAGTATCCAATGTCAATGACACACAGAGCCATAGAACATGCGCCATGAATTGCAATAGCTCTTGACATTGCAAGAATAATCTACAGAAAATGCCATACATATGGAAATATCATTCGTGGAGAGCGCCGACAATTAATTGTAAAAGCGAAAGCGGATAGGGAAATCGAAAATATGTGTATTATTAAACATATAATACTTTAAGAGATCTCTGGTAAGTCGAAATTCAGTGTATAGCACAGCAAAGTTAAATAAGAGAAATATTTCTCATATTACAAAATTCCAAATTAGAGCAGCTAAGGGTGTGATTTAGAAGAAATACTAGAAAAGGATTACTTTAAAAAAAAAGACCCCAATCGGAAGTAAAGCCCACTCGAAACTTCAGCTCTTTTAGAACTTTTCAAAAAGTACATTCCTCTATCCCTCATATGTATGTCTATTTCTCAAATAATTTTTATCTATACTATAATCAGTTTGTTAGTTTGCCCCAACCATTTTGTAGGGCGCAAACGAGAATCCCTCTCGAACTAAATCATGGGCTACATCAGTGGCTACGTCACTGATTAAACTCAATTGAAAAATTGCAAAAATAAAACAAGAGAAAAAAGAGAACAAGCCCAGCGCGTTGCAGGGAAATCAATTGCAATAGAAAAACGTCTGATTAAAATCACTTTTAGGGTTTCGGCTGTGGCATTACGACCTCTCTAGATCCAATCGCCTAGTAACTTACATGCAGTATTGCAAATCCGAAATATATATGCAAGTATATTGATTTGAAGTGTCATAGATTGTGTGACAACACGTTTGGCTTTCGTCAACAAATTAAAATTGTTTTTAATATTAGAGCATATTAGCCAGCGACTGTGATTAGCTTTTCATATTATTCACAATGTATTCGCCTTACACTCACACTCACATTCACATTCAGATTCGGGTTGACGTCTGTTCCGTTGGGCGCTCGAAACGCAACTGAAATGCAAATTGCACGAGCTGCTTTTAACGACTCAATTTTCAATTATTTTTACCGAGCTGCAGCCGCTCGTGAGGGGCGGAGCTCCATGTGAGTGGGTGGCCAGAGAGCAGAGATTCTCTTGTTGTTGTTGTACCCCATTTGTCGTGCTCCTGCTTCGCATTTGTTTATGTTTGCATTTTTGTTTTTATCGCGCTATTCTAGACAAACCCGGATAGAAGGCTGCGAATCGAGGCACTTGCAATTGGCACAGTGGTTCAAAGTTGAGTATTACTGTGCAAAGATTGAAAGAGTTATGCCGGGAATTAAGCTAAATAGATTCACAGTCAAAGCAGGCTTTCTATTTATTGTCAGTTAACGGTGCTAATTCAGAAATTTTGGAAATCTTTTAATTCATTCAACATCAAACATTACACCGCAACGTTTCGTATTTCGAAATTATATTATTTTTATTTCTAGATCTTTTTCACACATATGCAGTCAGTCGGTTATTTTCGGAACAGTAATTACTTAGTGAAGCCTGGAAAGCATCAGCATTATAGCCAATATGCAAAATTCCGCTGTCTTATCACGTGGTAAAGCGAAATCAATCAATTAACTCTGTGGCTCATCAACTTACTTTGATTTTCTATAGCAACATCCAAAACAACCGGCAAAAGTGGAGTAGCTAAATCTACAGAGGCCAAAAAGAATGAACCAGCTAGGAGCCAGTCCGTAAGGAGCAGCGTAAACAAAATTAAATTAAATATAATAATTATTTTTTATTATTATTATTGCAGTTGAACAGACCACCCATAAAACGTCTACCAAATCTTAAGAAGTCAGCTATAGGCCTGGCCGGCAATAAAACGAATACTAATAATAATACTAATAGCACCAACAATACCAATAATACCAATAATAATACCAATAATATTGCAAATGATGCTAATAATACTACTAATCCAACTACTAGTAATGCTAATAGTAATCTCGCAATAACTACTAATAACAATAGCAATAATAGCAACAATAATATCAGCAACAATAATAATAACAACAATAATAACAATAATAATGCAGAAAATAAACCTTTGGCCGTGTCGCAGCCCACAACGCCGGGTCTTAGCGTTGGCTCTGCCACATCTGCAACAAGTTTTATGTCGCGCCGCACGGACGCCGACTCGGAGGATGCCCCGCCCAAGACAAAGACGAAGTTTACCCGGCCGCGCATGAATCAGCTGACCGAGCAGCGCATCAATCGCTTACGCTCGTCTGCGGCAGATGGAGCCCATTGTGAGTTGTCACTCTTATTCATCCAATTTATTTAACACACTCTCTCACTACTCTCCCTCTCTCGCCTTGTAGTAGCTGTGGTGAGATCGCATTCGGAAACGCCCGCATCGCAGGCCAAAAAGAAAGGTAATCAAACTTCCAGTCAAACATCGATATGTGTGCGCATGCAGGAAGATGGAGTTGAGCCATTGCCCTGTCCACAGGCCCTGGAGATGCTCCAGAGGGGATTGGAGGACATGCAGTCGGAGTTTATGCGGAAGGCGGCGGACTTTCGTGGAAAACGCCATGGCTACTCCTACAAGCTGGTCGCCATCGTGCACAACGATAATTGCAAGGTGCTCGTGCACCGTGATGACTTGCTTGCCATGCCCAAAAATCTGCGTGAGCTTCAATTGCCATTCATTTGCACAATTCCCTAAGCTTATATTAACTTGAATCACTCCTCAGCTGCGCATTCGCTGAATGATTTCCGAAACCTGTGCCATAATACACTCAGGGAGGGTGTCTGGTTCATTTTCGAGCAGATCGCGTCGGTGCAGTCGGAGGACAACAGCCTGCAGACACTGCGTCAAGAAGAGCTACGCCGGCAGCTAGACGGCCACCTGGTAAGTAACAGCTACTATAGATAGAGCTGTATCAAATAAATGCAAGAACTTTCATAACTCTGCAGAGCAACAAGCTGGCTGTCGTCGACAATGAGCTGATGGAAATGTGTAAAGCTGCTGGCAACGACGAATCCGCAAAGCTAAGGGCACAGATATGCGAGCTAACTGAAGAGAACAGTGAGCTAGTGTCAGCCAATTCGAAACTGGAGATGGATGTGGTGGACATACGCAAGCAGCGAGACGAGCTCAAAACATCGCTTGATATATCGCAGAAGCGCTGCGACGATCTCGCTCTAGAGCTGGCCGATAAGAATATATTGCTGGTGAAGAAAGCAGGTGCTCTGGAGGACATGATTGCCGAAATTAGAAATCTAAAGAAAACGTAAGACATGACCATTGAAATCTCGAATTCAAAACTAACAATCAATAATACCCACAGCAATAAGATATTGCAGCAGCGCCAAAGAGAGAGCGACACAAGCATAGACGGCTTTCGGCTATCGAATGAGAAGCTCTTGTCCCGCATTGAGGATTTGGAGAGTCAAGTGCTGCAGGCGCAGAGCGAATGCATAATACTCCAAAAGAAAATGGATGAGCTGATGGAAGATCTGGGCGAGAAGGAAACCATCATGGCCGAGCAGAGAGCACAGCTGCAAGACCAGGAGCTCACCAAGACGCTGCAGTCGGAGTCAACAAGTACCGAACCCGAACCGGATACGGAACATTTATGGTAAACGGAAATTGTGCGATGTGCTTTAAATGCAGTAAAACATCTCTTCTTCTGTGATAGTGATCTGCAGGCCGAGCTGGAGCGTCAACAGATGCGTCTAGCCGAGCAGGAGCGGAGGGAGCAAACGCTGCGCCTGCAATTGGAACAGAAACAGGAGGAGCTAAACAAGGTGGAGCTTAAAGTCAGCCGGCTAGAGGAGCAGAACGAACACCATCGCCAGGTGCTGGCCGTGCGCGGTGAGCGCATCAATTATCTGGATCAGGAAATGAAGCAACGCGAACTGGAGAGCAATCGCAAATTAAATGAAATTATGGCTCAAACCAGTGATAAAAATACGCTCATTACACAGGCAAATAACCAACAGGGATTCGAATTGAAATCACTTTATAAGCATTCTCCTCTTTACACACAGATGACCAACGAGCTAGCAGCAACAAATGAACAATTCCAAAATCTCTGCTCCAAACTAACCGCCAAGCAGACAAAGCTACATAGCCAGGAGCACGTCATCAAGCTGCTGGAGGAGAGCAATGAGCGCAGCGTCAAGCTGCACACGAAGCTGGGCGAGAAGAATGCCATGCTTAAGGACGAGCTCGATCACTTGCGGCGCACTGTGTAAGTTATCTATATACATATGTATATATCTACATATATTAGTATATCTATGTGGCGTGACAACTCGTAACAAGTACGCTAGATACAAAGCTGATTCATTGAGCTTAAAGTAAATGCATGAAACCAGATTTCTATTATATTAAAATCAATTCAAATTTTATTTATGTGCAAATATCTATATAATAGTTATGGATTAGTAAAACATATTTAACGACCACGAGTTTGTCACAATGTTAGATCTAGTGCTGAATTATAAATTCTGCTCAAAATATTGTTTAAATTTTCGCAGCTTCCTCTTTTTGCTATGTTACAAGTTTTTTTTGTTTTTTTTTTTTTTTTTTTTTGATAATTTGAACAAAAACCGGATTATTTAGTTCACATTTCAAACATCAGGTTAAATAGATAGAATGACGCTATCAATTGATAAACAACATTTGCATATAAAGCAAACAACATTTTAATCATAAATTCAGCCTAAACTGTCAGTTTAAACTGTCAGCTCGGATGACTATTTGGGGTCCATATTAATTTTTGTAAATTAGCTTCAACGGGTTCGAGCCTGTGTGTAGCAGTTTATATTGCCGCCATTTGCTTTGCTTATAGCAATTTTAATTTTACAATTCATCTTCAATACTTTCTCGTCCCAGAAATAACCTAATGTTAGCCAACGATGTAAACGATGCTCCAGATGTTCCAGAACTTGTACTGGAATAAACCCAAATAGGACAATGTATTTAGCAAAATTAAGAAAGTATTAAATGGTAAGCGGCACTTGTTACGAGCACTGAACACTGCACAACAAACAATCAAACCTAATCCATTTTTGTCCTCTCTCCCTCTCATTTGCAGTAATGTTTTTGTCAAAATTATAATTGGCAACAATGGGCGGAATATATTTGAGCCAGTGCCGGCCCATGAAGTGTTAAGACTGCAGCTGCCATAGCAAGAATAACAACAACAACAACAACAACAACAATCTCGAAAGGACTAACATTATATTGTATACTTTTATATATATAACTATATATGTATATTTATATATAGAAATATATATCTATATATATAGATAGATGTACATGTATGTAGACCTTTGCGATTATTAAATAATTATTTGTTCAGTTATTTTGTAATTATTATTTATATATATAAATACATAGCAATTTATATATTTAAAATTCTATATTCTCAACAAAAAAAACCTTGTAGAGTAGAACACCCACTTTTGTAATTACCAATAGATCAGCTTTATATTTTGTGCATGTGTATATATAAGAAAATATTCTTAAGTGCATCGGCGGCGCATTAAAGAGAACTTTCAATTAAACGATTTTGCATTTTGCGAGCAGCAGACTGATTCGCCCCTCTTCTCTCGCCTCAACTAGATCCAACTGGATGGATAGGGTATACCAATACAATACCAAGACAGAGACAAGCCCCCGAGAGATGCTGCGAATATTTCTTTTCGGTTTATCAGTTAGATTTCGAATTAGTCGCGTCGCGTTGCTTGTACCAGTTGGAGGTGGCTGGCAGTGCTCATCGCTTACCAAGTGAAATCCGTTTTAAGGTAGAAGCCTACCTAAAAGTGTTACAAGTGAGATTCAAATATTGACTTGAGAATATGTTAAGCTACTATTTTATTTGATTCCAATGTTAATTTCTATAAGTTAAACCTTTGAGCTCTAGCTTTGATAAAAAAATGCAAGCTTAATTTTTAAAAATTGTTTTTATTGTGCAAAAGTGATTTTTTATTTAAATAATAAAATTAAAAAAAAAAAAAAAGCTGTAGTCAATGTTAAAATGTAATTTGAGTGTTCTCTTTGATCTAGCTCTATAAATTTTTTAAAAGTGCAATCAAGTAAGCTATATATGTAGGCTGCTCTGTAGGCTTACCAATCTAGAATTCTTACTCGCTTTTTCTTAAAAGAATATTATTATTAAATTTTAAAAATGCTAATATGTACTATTAATTGATATTGACCATTTATGATCTGGCAGTTTTTTGGTAAAGCCCGAAAATATCGCAACTCTTTTATCTAATTTTAGCCAAGACATTTTGTCTAGTCAAGCGAGAAGGATTAATACTCATAAAGCTATGTATATCATATTTGGCCTTAATAACCCAGTCTTAGCACACACTTGATTTAGTATGCTTATCTCTATTCAAAACTGCTGTTTGCATTTGGCTAAAATTTGTCTGGTACCCAAAATGTTTTGGAAATTCTCTAGTTTTATGATAATTAAATAGCACTAAATACACAATTCTCACTACTAGCTTTAACAGTCTGGGTTGCCTCAATGCGTGTACATTGAACTTGAGCTGCTGCTTATTTGATAGGGGTTTATTGCCCAAAACACACAGAAGCTGTTGCACCCATCACCAATCTGAAAAAAAATGATGAATGAGTTTCATACAGAACAGTTGTAAACAATTGCCAATGAGATGATACATACTACATAGGGAAAATACCGTTCTATCCTCTAGATCTTAGGAACTTTTTAATAAATGATTCGTTTGGAATCTATGTCCCAGTAATTCAACCTTAATTGATTTATAGCTGAACAGACCCGTGATTTAACTCTGTTATCTATGTTGCAATAATTCATTTACCATATGACATTTTAGGGTATGCAATCAATTTTGTGCACATTATTTCTTATATCAATTTTCTGCGTCTTCTGTTCGCTTGGTACTTAAGCTAAATTTTCATTAAGAACGTAACTTTGAGGCACAGCTTCCAAAGTATTATTTGCAACGGCGACATAGCTCATTTTTTGACCGCATAAAAGTATGAAATATTTTTTTTCATAACAAAAATTTTTCTGCCGATTTTTAATTGGCCCTCTGCATGTATTTATTCGCCTGATATATTAGCAAAATTTGTATTCAGATTTCGAATTTTCTGTCAATCTTTTAGTTGAATAAAACCCATAGGGGCTGCGTGCGTGTATATAAGCATATACACATTATAAGATGTGGTACATCATTTTGCTATATTTAAATTTTAGGCCCGCACAAAAGTATGCAATGGATTTTTGATTAAAGAGGTATCTAGTTAGTAAGCACATAAAATTAAGTATTTCACATTTAAGCTGCACTTAATGCATTAATTAAAGTAATAACTTATAATATTCACTATCAAAGTATTTGGAAATTTTTTCCAGTTTATTAATTGTTTATCAGCGTATCTGTATATTCTGCTAGCTCTAATTGCAGGCTTATCAACTTGAAGCAAATCTCGTACGATATTAGAGAGCAAAGAGACAATGCATCTCTTATCGTAAACCCTATATAATAATTGGTAGGCGCGTGTGCCCTATAAAAGACCTATTCATTCCAGCACATGCACTGTTGTTCCTGCATCGCTCGTCGCTCGTACATAAACATGGATAGCAAAGAATTCGCAAAGCTTAAACGAATGGATGAGAGTCTCAAGTTGACGAAGGAGATAGATTGCGTGGTCTACACCTCCGAATTGGTAAGTTAAGCTTTAGGTATATCAAGTGCTACGATTAATCACATTTAAATCACGATGCACAGCTGGAAATGGATGAGGAGGGAGCCGATCAGCCCATGGCAGCCGAGCGTGATACTTGGAGCAAAGGCGTTGAGTTTCTGTTTTCGTGCATTGCGCTGAGCGTGGGCCTGGGCAACGTTTGGCGTTTTCCATTTATAGCTCTGGAGAATGGGGGCGGTGCATTTCTGATACCCTATCTAGTGGTCTTGCTGCTGGTGGGTCGTCCAATTTACTATCTGGAGGTGATCATCGGACAGTTCAGCAGTCGCGGCTGCATTGGCGCCTTTGATTTGGCACCAATTTTTCGAGGTACACTGAAAATAATAAATATTATTATTATGTGTTAAATTTCCATTGTCATCTTATCTATTTTGTACTTGATGTATTTCAATTCTAATTTTCAGGTGTTGCCTATGGCCAGGTGTATTCCACTGCCTTGGCTACAACATACTACGCCTGCATTATGGCTCTGACTATCCGCTATTTGGTGGTCTCGTTCTCCGAGGTGCTACCCTGGACCTATTGCCTCGCCGAGTGGGGCGCTCAGTGTGTAGCAACCGGAGCAACGGCCAATGATAGCAGCAATATCAGCACCTCTCTACAGGGCAAATCCTCAGCTGAGCTTTATTTCACGTAAGCGTCAACTATTTCAGTCAATGATGGGATACTCGACTATAGGATACCTACTTAAACATTGATTCCTCTCTCCACTTGCAGTCAGACTGTGCTACGTGAACCGTATAGTTTGGATGAGGGCCTCGGCACGCCCAGCAGGGAAATGGTCTTGTGCCTGTTGGCCACTTGGATCATCATAGCCCTCACGCTTGTCAAGGGTATACGCAGCTCGGGCAAGGCATCCTACTTTCTGGCACTCTTTCCCTACGTGATTATGCTGATCCTACTGCTCAGAGCGCTGACATTGCCAGGCGCCTGGAATGGCATAGTCTACTTTATACAGCCGCAGTGGAACCAGCTGCTCAATCCGCATGTCTGGTATGCGGCCATCACCCAAATGTTCTTCTCCCTGGCCATTTGCTTTGGCACACTGGTCATGTACGCCTCCTTCAATGACTTCAGCAAGCGTGTTCACAAGTGAGTCCAAGAAATATATTATATATAAATTTGCGTATAACGGATATGAATTTCTTGCCATGAATCGCCACAGAGATGTCATCATTGTCACTACTATAGATTCCTTTACGTCCATTTTGGCTGGCTGCATCATCTTTGGCATTCTCGGCAATTTGGCCCACGAGACCAATGTGACGGACATATCGAAGGTGGTGAAGGGAGGCGCCGGCTTGGCCTTCATCTCGTATCCAGAGGCCATAGCCAAGTTTAAGTATTTGCCGCAAATGTTCGCTGTGCTCTTCTTCTTCATGCTGTTAGTGCTGGGCATTGGCAGCAACATCGGCATGGCCACCTGTGTGATCAATGTGATCAAGGATCGCTTCCCCCACTTGCAGCACTGGCAACTCGCTATAGGCGCCTCTATCGTTGGCTTTCTCTGCGGGCTGGTCTACATGACGCCCGGCGGACAGTTCATACTGAATCTGGTGGACTTCTATGGGTGCACTTTCATTGCCCTGGTGATGGCCATCGCTGAATTGTTTGCCTTCTCCTGGGTCTATGGAGTTAAGCGTCTGTGCAACGACATCGAATTCATGCTGAATGTGAAGACCGGCTTCTATTGGCGCATCTGCTGGGCCATAATGGCGCCGGGCTTAATGTTCCTTGTGCTCGTCTATATGCTGGTCAGCTACGAGCCGCTCACATATAAGGGCGTCGAGTACCCAGAGGCAGCCTACATGGCTGGCTGGCTCATCTGGGGCCTGGGCGTGGCTCAGCTGCCCTTCTGGGCGCTTTACACAATCTACCAGCAGCCGGGTCACAGTTTCCTCACCGTAAGTCACATTGCTCTCTCACAATTTTTAATCGGGCTATAAAAATTCTCTTCCGCAGAAATTTCGACTTGCTCTGCAGCCCACCAAAGATTGGGGGCCACGTCAGCCCCAAAAGCTGCAGGCATATCTGCTGCATCGCCAGAAAGTCGCGGAATCCAAGCAGCGGCGCGGTAATTTCTTTTTTGACAACATTTTTGGTTAGCTCAGAAGGTAAAGCGTTACCTGCGGTCATCTATTCAAGAGCGGGCTCAAACAAAGCGAAACTGTTGAAAATACTCTTGTACGCCTTACTTTGTTTAAATTAAATAGTAAATGATTCAAAACTGCCAAGCTTATAGCTTTTAAGTTGTGAAAAGATTTGAAAAATAATATTTGAATGCATATAGAGTTTTATTATATTTTAATTATATATTATTATTATTATTATTATTAGGCTTTAGCATTTTAGCAGCAATTTTTTAACTATATATTTGTTCTTACTTATGCTAAATAATTATATTAAATTTAACTTAAGATACTTTTCATAAAGTGTTCAAAAATAAAAAGCAAAATAAAAAGCAGGACAAAAATGTAAAATTTTTAATAATTATTATTTTT